TTTGCATTTCTTTGATGACTAGTGAGGCTCAGCAGTTTTTCATGTATCTGTTGGCTGCTCATGTGTCTTCTTTTGAGAAGTGTCTATTCATATCTTTTGCCTACTTTGTAACAGGGCTGTTGTTTTTTTTTTTCTTTTCTGCATGTTTGAGTTCCTTGTAGATCCTAGATGTTAGGCCTTTGTCTTTCAAATGCTTTCTTTTTTTTTTAAGTCAGTCTCGCTCTGTCAGCCAGGCTGGAGTGCAGTGGTGTGCCCCCAGCCACCGCATCCTTGACCTGCTGGTCTCAGGCAATACTTCCATCTCAGCCTTCCAAGTAGCTGGAGCTACAGGTGCATGCCACCACATCCAGCTAATTTTTGGATTTATTGTAGAGACAAGGTCTCGCCAAGTTGCCCAGGCTGGTCTTGAACCCCTGGGCTCAGGCAATCCTCTCACCTCACCCTCCAAAGTGCTGGTATTACAGGCATGAGCCTCTGTGCCTGACTTCTTTCTAATACATTCTTAAACTATACTATGGACTTGCTCTGAAATTCTTTTTTTTTGTGGCAAAGTGAAAAACCCATAGGACAACATACCACATCCCACTTGGCATTACATTTGTCCCCAAGACACCCTAGGGGGCCTGGATCTCACCTTTGCCTGCTTACCATGTTGGGCCCTTTCTGCTCACAAATCTAATCCAAGGTAAGAAAGGATGGACACCTCTGTGGTGTCCCCTTTTCCCTGTACCTCTGGCATTCTGGTGACTGTCTTTCATGACTACCTCCTGTCTTTTGGCACTCAGCTGCTTGCTGAGGAGTGACCCAGCACATTTTTGTGTCATACAGCACAGTAGCCCAGCTGTCACATGTCAGGATTAGGAAGCTGGTAGCAGAATCAGCCCAAAATACAACCAGCAAGGGGATATGAGGTCTCAGACCTCCTCCCCACCCCCTAGTTCCAGCCAGACCAGTAGAGTCAGTCATTAGAGCAAAAGCTTCTTAGACACTAGGCACTAGAAACAGAGAGCAAGAAGACTGAGTTCCTGCTCTCCAAGAGCTCAGAGTCCACCAGGGTTGTAGGCAATACACGATTGCCTTGGGCCTAAGTCTTTTGGGGGGTCCTTTCTGACTGAGAAGGTTTGGGCTCTTCCGGGGGAAGATAGAGGGAGTGGGTAGCAGGCACATTCGCCCTGACATTTTCTCTTAGGTTGTACAATAGCCTCTTTAAAAGAAGCAATTTTTGGTCAGGCAATACATGCCCAAAATACAAAATTGAAAGTATACAAAAGGGTATAAAGTTTTTAAAAAAAGGCCAGGCTCGATGGCTCAGCCTGTAACCCCAGTACTTTGGGAGGCCGAGGCGAGTGGATTGCTTGAGTCTGCGGGTTCAAGACCCACCTGGGCAACTTGGTGAGACCTCGTCTCTATAATAAATCAAAAATTAGCTGGGTGTGGTAGCACGCGCCTGTAGTTCCGGCTACTTGTAAGGCTGAGGCAGAAGGATCACCTGAGCCCAGCAGGTCGAGGCTGCAGTGTCTGGGAGCATGCCACTGCTCTCCAGTCTGGGCAAAGGAGTGAGACTCCACTCCACCTCAAAAAAAAAAAAAAAAAAGTATTTTTCTCTCCTTGTACATCAGATACCCATTCCTCTCCTGGGAGGCAACTGCTGTTGCCAGGGTCTCATGTATCCTTTAGTGGCCATTAAATTAGTCTCAAGTGGAAAGTGAAGGAAGGGCAAGGCAAAACTCTATGCATGTTCGAGTAAATATTTGCTTCCCTTACCACAAATTGTAACATGCTACAACACCATCTGCACCTTGCTTAGTAATCTGTCTTCTCTCTTGTCTCCCCCTTCCCGAATCTATTCTCTATTGCCACTTCTAGAAATCACCTTTCATCACATCACTTTCTTGCTTAAAATCCTTTGAAGGTACCCTGTGTTCTACAGAATAAACGCTCAGCCTCTTTGCATTTACAAGGCCCCGTGCAGACTGAGAGCCTTACCTTTTGCTTCTCCTTAACCCACAGCCCAGTCTCCAGCCAGACAATCTCTTGCTCTTGGACCAAGTTCTGTTTTTTTTGTTCTTGTTTTCTTTTCTCTCTCTCTGGCTATGCTTTTACACATACGGTTCCCTCTGTTTGAAAAGTTCTTTCCCCTAAGCTGGGCTCGGTGACTCAGCCTGTAATCCCGTGCCTTTGGGAGGCTGAGGTGAGTGATTGCCTGAGCCCGCGGGTTCGAGACCCGCCTGGGCAACTTGGTGAGACCTCATCTCTACCATAAATCAAAAGCTAGCTGGGCGTGGTAGCGCGCATCTGTAGTTCCAGCTACTTGGAAGGCTGAGGTGGAAGGATCGCCGGAGCCCAGCAGATCGAGGCTGTGGTAGCCGGGAGCGGCCACTGCACTCCAGTCTGGGCGGCAGAGTGAGACTCCAACTCAAAAAAAAGAAAAAAGAAAAGTTATTTCCCTTCCCACCCTCTCAGCCTGGCTTACTTTAGTTCACCTGTCAGGACTCAGCACAGGCATCACCCCTGCTGTGGATCCTGCTTCAACCTCCACCTCCCCCACTCACCTCCCTACTTAAAGAGCTCCATGAGCCACCTTGGGCACGCCCATGTGACTGCACAATGTTGCTCTGTGAGGATCAGTCTCTACAGCTGGGCATGGAGCTCTTTTGGTCTTTACATCACTATGTCTGCAAGTTTGGGGTTCGTTGTCCTCTTTAATAATCACTATCTCTTCTGGAAATTTTGGCTACATACCACCTGCTTGGTTTTCCATTTATTATTATATTTTTGAGTAGGAGTCTTACTCTGTCACCCAAGCTGGAGTACAATGGCACACTCATGGCCACCGCAGCCTCGACCTGCTGGGCTCAGGGGATTCTTACGCCTCAGCCTTCCAAGTAGCTGGAACTACAGGCACACGCTACTACGCCCAGCTAATTTTTTGATTTATTGTAAAGATGAGGTCTCACCATGTTGTCCAGGCTGGTCTCGAACCCACAGGCTCAGGCAGTCCTCTCGCCTCAGACTACCAAAGTGCTGGAATTATAGGCTTGAGCCACTGTGCCTGACCAGAAGAAAGTTTTTTTAAAAACTTAATTTGTCACTAGTTTTCCTGTAATAGTCTTCTCTTCTCTAGTTCTGGTTTGTCCTTAAACGCTGTGCCAAGTATCTCCACACAGAGATTTCTTTTCCCTTATACCCAGCACCCTTGTGTCCTTGCACCTAGTTTAGTGTCTGCCATATTCTAGGTGCCTAATGAGAATTTGTGGGATGA